TCCTAACCCCCCTCTCCCATGTCACTTCCCGGAGGGTCCTAAGGATACAAGCCACGTTTGGTGACTAATCGTTTTTCGTTGGTTTTTTTTAAGCAGACACACATACAGAGACTTGTTAAATAATGGTTCAAGATAGCTGCTAAATTTTGAATTCTTGTTTAGTTCAAAGCAGCGATACTTATAAAGATATCTGGTAAGTACAAAATGTTAGTATTAATATTACTAGTTTGTTTGGATAACGTATCTACATTTATCAGTGATTAAAAGTAATCCTTGAAGGGAGAGTGGGCAAGACAGTGAACCTTAAAACAAAAGAAATTAGCAGAATACCATTGATTTCCGTTTAACCAACTCTCAAGAATATGTAAACAATGCTAAAATCTGGGTTTGAATCCCCGCGATAGACAAGAGTAGATAGCTCATTTTGTAGCTTTGAAATAAAACAAACAAACGAAAATATGTAGACAAAAGATAAAAAAACAGGCAAATATTACTTTTAACTCACTTTTCTAAAGGGAACAAATATAATTTTAAAGTTTAATCTACATAGGATCATTGATCTCGAATTACACCGAACAAAAAAAGTGTTCATCGAAATCCTCTATAAATAAAAACAATATATAAAACGACAAATTTTTTGTCATAATTTCTCGATATACATTCTTCACTACAGCTCACTCTATACATAAAAATAATACGTGGAACACCTCTATAAGCAGATAATATCCAAGTAGGTAAAATTTCCAAATATATTAGTCTAAAAAAAGAATGCTGAGTTGCCACTGGGAGGATGTCATGATGCTTAAAATGGGGAAGTTCAAATAATGCATGGAATAACTTTTAACAGCTTATGTAAAATTGTAAACTTTGTTTAACGAGAAATTGATATTTTATATTTCACTGACGGATAACATTTGCAGTAAAAGGATAAACCCATTCTTGTGTTGATTGTAGCAAAACTTTAACAATGAACATTGAACAAGGAACCTTCTATCAGACGCTGACTTTCTTCATCTGCCCTAACATATTACCAACTAAAAAAATAAAATTGGACCTACGGTTGATCGTGGGTAAATCTTGAAAATTGAAAATTTCATTGTTTTTTAGTTACATTTCTGTATTGACTTCCATCGAAAATAATAATAAAAAATCTAGGTTTTGTTTTTAAGGACGACATAAATAAACTATAGACATTGTAAGAAGAGAGGTTGGGGTGTGGTGTATATATGCAGTAGTTATGCCCATTAACATGGTGTTTACATTATCGTTATCAAATGATTGCATTATTACTGGTTTGATTGCTTTGGTTATTCCCTCAAAGCTACGCAAGGGCTATCTGCGTTAGCCGTACCTAATATTGAACCGATAGACTAGAGGGAAGACAGCATCCACCACTTACTCTTGGGCTATTCTAACCGAACAGTTGGATTTGACTGTCACTCTTATAATTCACCCACAGCTTCAATTTACGAGTAACAGGAGGAGAATTATGACCTCTCTGATTTACAGTCCGGTACGCTAATCGCTAAGCAACGCCATTATTAAAGAAAACTACCGTCTTTAGTTATATACCAGAATTTAGGTTGTATTAACGCTTTTATAGATGCTCATCCTATTTGATTAATTTGACCTTGGTTGTTGGTCTATTTGGCTGATACAAGACAAGTATAATGCACTATGCTTTTTAATCAACTCTATTATAAAAAGCACTTATTTGTTGTCTTTACTATTTGAACTTTGGTACACTGGAAATAATAATTATCCATATGTGGAGTAAATTAAACGTTATTTGGGGGTACTTTTGAAAATAACAATTTATAATTCTTTAAAATATCATGGTCTGTCAGCATTGTATATTCCGTTTCTATTTGTACACACGAATCCTGTACTCAGGAACGCTGAATTGCATGTCGTTGCCCTTGAAACAACCTGCATAAAACACTACTTTATTGAAATTCCTTCGACCTTTGCTCTAACCCTGTTACATGACGCATGTTGCTCAACCATCTTGAAATTAGAACGACAGTACCTTTAGGGAAGGGGAGGTACTTTTGTGATGTAAGGGCATGACGTGTTTGAAGCATTTTTCGAAAGCGGATGGACTAGGAGACCGGATTTGCACACTCTGAGAATCTTATCTTACCTAGAAGCTTTGTGGAGGGTTTTAAGTGGCCATGGATAATTAATGCCGACAGACACGACATTGGCTAATTTCTTCTGAATTTTATCTAAATCCTTAAGCTTTTCTTCAGTGCGTCTTCATATGACCACTTCAATACTGAGTCAGTTTGTCCCACAGAAAGTAGGGTTGACCGAACTTGTTTCTTTGGGGTTTTGCTATGACATTATTTCATGCACTTAAGATAAATTACTTAGCATTTAAAAAACAATTTCTATTACAAGTAGACCACAACATTAGAGAATTATGTATATTTATATAATATAAGCTGACCTGTGTGCAGTCGTGGGTTAGTGGTATTTAGAGCAAACATTTTCATAATAGCTTAATCACAGTATATATATTCTATTCAGGGCTTCAAGGTTAGAATGAATTGTGTTTTCCAGGTTGACACAGATCATCGACTCTTACCCAACTTGGCTGAATACGACTTTTTTAATACTAAAGATGTAGAAAATTTCTATAGACTACAAAAAAAAAATCCTCAATCCAGGGTTTTTAAGGTTTGTAACAAACTAAAAAAATGTCTGAAACTCTAGTAATTTAAATCAACCTAAAATATTTAAATGGCCAATAATTATTAATAGTTTCCAATGTTGCAAACAAAACACACTAAAAACAAAAACATTAATTAGCACTGCAAGTGTTTTCTAAATTTTGGCATTCAGTTACTTATAACTTAAAAGTTCTGAACACCACAACTACTACATAAAAGCTTTGCCTCCCAGTGGCACAATGGTATGTCTGTGAACTCGCAACGCTACAAACCGGGTTTCGATACCCGTGGTGGGAAGATAGCTTTATGTGTAACTTCACACAAAAAACATAAAAGATTTATGAAATAGAATCTTACATTCATTGATCACAACAATGGCTTTCCGAACAATAATAACAAAACATCAGAATGTTTTTTTTTTATGTTGAAAATACCATTTCTTATATTTAAACAGATTGTGACGTATGCACGTTTCAGTAGTACCTAAAATAGTAAGCACCATAGCTCTACTTAGGTTCTTACTCGTAATCGGGGAGGAGAAGGATAGAAAAATCTTACCCCACCCTTCAGAAAATAATAGTACCATTAATCATTATGTAACATGTATGAATTTTATATAACAAAATTATGGATAGATAACTTGCTACAAGCGAATGTCAAAATTATTTGCAAAACAAGTGATTTTTTTTCACTAAAAAACAATGAAGGTTTCATTTATAACAATCAGAAAACTGTGTTGCAAAGAAATGGAAGATGGTTCAAATTTATCGTGAAAATTCATAATTTCACATCTTCCCGCGCCACTGGATACCATAATTCATTAAAACAATTATCTTCTAACTCGAGTTTACCATTTTTAATATTTACCTAGAATTCAAATGACGACAGTAAACTGGGGGATCTTTTACAAGCTTCACTAGTCCAAGAAATTGTGTTTTCAGAACAGTCTTGCTTCTAAACATGTCCTATACTTTAATTTTATAAACTCGTACCCTTTGTAAACCTGCCGTAACCAGGTGGCTAGCACACCAGAACTTCAATTCAAAGATGTCACGTCTTATTGCAAAAGAAGTGCGCTCCGCACTTTGGGCCTTAGGTACACTTTAAGAAGTTGAATAAAGTAGCCCAAGAGTTAGTGGTTGGTACTGATGACCAGTCGCTTTATTTACAGTCTATCAGGTCTCAAATTAGGGACAACTAGTGTTAACTTTACGTGAAAATTCTAAAACAAAGAAACCTTACTTTTATAAATAAAGGAATGTCAGAATTTGTTTTTAACTACAACATATAGAACGTTTTTCATGCGACGAAAGGAGAGACTGGGAGGTGGGCGTGTGTCTGTGTGTGTGTATTTTACGAGAAAGTTGAAAGTTTGCCATGGTTGTAAATATTTCGTATTTTATTACAAAATCTTACTTCGTGGATTATTTTTATATGAAAGAGGTTCTGGGATACCTCATCTGTAGTCTTGAGGGTTTATAGATTTATAACGATAGAATTCAAGGCTTTATCCCCGCGGCGGACACAAAACAGACGTTAGTCCATTGTGCAACTTTGCGCTACAAAAGACAACTTAGTTGATAAAAAAACATGTACGATTGCGGAGTAGGTTGATTGTTTGTTTCTGATATTTCGCGTAAAGTCACAAAAGGTCTATCTGGTTAGCTGTCCCTCATTTCGAATTGATAGACTAGAGGGAGACAGGTAGTCAACAACACCCACAACTAACTCTTATAATTTGACTGTCACACTTACGATGTATCTAAGGCTCCAAAGTGTGGAACGCAATATTGCTGTTACGGTACGCAAACTAAGGACCATAGGATTCACACTTTGTCACGCTAGCTATTAGACCACGTCAAGCCGAAGTAGGCTGATATTTTCACATTTCCAATATCCTTGTATTAAAATAAGTTTTTAATTAATGTGCATCTTTCATTTACAGCCCTAATCATTGTACACCTTTCATTTGTTATATTCTAAAAGCAGATTCACTGTACCTGCTTGTCCGTCGTCAGTGTTACATTACTTACATCGAGTGCCTACCTGTGTGGTATAAAATGAAAATATATTGTTTTTCTTACAACTATATAACAGGTATATCCTATGATGGGTTTTGTTAGACTTATCTCCTCGTAAAATAAAACATTTTCAATATCAAGCTTGAAAACTGAGATTTGGGAACTGATCTCTGAGACGTAGTTAATGAAAAAATACGAAAATAATGTATTACCAAAACATTTTTACACAATAAAAAGTGGTTATGTACATTTTGCCATTTATTCTGTTTATACAAACAATGGGAAAGTCTTACTTGAGTGGTACAAGATGTTGTACTGTCTATTCCCAGAAGCATAGGGTGAGTTTCCACTCATCATCACAATGGCTGAGTCTGAGTCACTGTGGTAGCCAGAGATGTCACTGCTGTCATCGTCATCATCGTCCGCCACTTCTTTCATTAAATCCAAGACTTCTTTGCAACCGTGAGAGAACCTCATCAACACTGGAGCGACAATTGAGCTGAGGTTGACATCTTTAATTTCTTTACGTAGCTGGGTGAACTGGAAGAGAACGTCTTTATCGAACTCGATACGCTTCTGTAATACGTTCAACAGCATTTCCAAGGAGTGGTTAGTGAGAGTGGGCTCGATGACGTTCAGAAGGGATTTATTTTTAATCAATCGTTCTTGGATTTCATCTTGCCTAAGACTAAGCTGCCGTTGATGACTTGCTTTGGTTGGTGCTGGACCATGTGAGAGAGACCGTGCTACGGGCTGTTTGGGAGCTAGGCTTAATTCGTCCAACTTCTGTACTGCAATCTTATATTGGTGGATAACACGCTCAAACTCCATCTTCAGAGCATCGTGAAGATTCATCAGAGTATCATCTGAGGTACCCACCATGCCGTGTTGCCCTAGGCCAGCAATAGCTTTGTCAAGTGCCCTCTTGCGGCCATGCAATTGTTTCTTTGTATGAGGTTCTGACAGTACAATAACCTGAGCGTAAAAAATACATAAATGAATGAAACTACCGCCAACTGTACACAAACAATATTTAGTTACAAGTTAAATGAAATCATGAATGACTGATAGGAATATTAACGTGTTTAATTATTTGAAAAAAAAAAGCTCTATTCTGGTTTTCACGGTATATTGAACCTACTGTTTTGATTCAATTATACTTGTCATAAGACATTACGTTAGGCCTATTATATTTGAACACTACATTCTTAATCTAGTCCCTTAGAGATTTTCAAGAATTAAAAGATTGTATCAAAACAGTATTTTAATCATACTATACTCGCCACATCCAAGGCCTACGACACATTTCGCTCAATCCAAAGCTCTTCAGGCCGGTTGTGAAGCAACGAACACATCAGTGGTCGGAACACTACTTATATAGGCCATTTATTAAAACAACAACTGTTATAGTGTAAACGCCTTTTACAAGTTGACAAAGCATGATTATAATGAATTATACTTGTCATAAGACATCACCTTAGGCCTATTATATTTTTTAACACTGCATTATTGATCTAGTCCCATAAAAATCTTCAATAATATAATAATAGTATTTCACCCACAATAAAAATGTTGTTTAAAATAACTTTTCGTTTTAACACCATTTTTATGTTTGCTTTCTTTTTTGCACGCAAACCTATTGAATCCTTTAAATAAATGTGAATAAAAGGGTTCTTTATATATTATATTCCTTTAATGCAGGAATAACGTCAAGCTGTTTGTTTGTTGGTCTGTCTGTATGAAACAACTCGACAATTGTTTGGGTCATAATTAAAAATTCAAATATACTTGACTCTTTTGGTTCAGGTGAGAAACACTATATTGAAAAAGGGGTCTGCATATAGAATGAGCGCCATCTAGTTTTTGCAGTAGTGATGATGGAGGCTACTTCCTATGTGTAAGTAATTATTAATTAATAAATAAACATATAATGTTATTTCACGACCTAACAGTAGACCTTTTTAAAACTTTAATAAGCTTTTAATATGATGTTATATAAAATATCTGCTGAAATATATTTACATCCGGCTTTTGTTTGTATCCATTGAAATAAAGTGCAAGCGCATGCGCATTTATATAATAAGGTGCGTGCGGATTTTGAGGACAGACAAAACTGATTATTATTGGTTAATAAAACCTAAAATATAAGAAAACAGAATAAGTGGAACTTTAATTGTGGAGTTGTAACGAAATTTTGACTTTAATCCACAAATGGACGAAGTACTACTAACTCCTATTTTACTGGACAGCGTTAGACTAAATATGAATGATTGGGATTACGCTTTATTACTATCAGTTCACGTAGTTTATATTTAACTTTATGTATGCTTTAATCAGTATTTTGCCACATGGCATAATAATGGCATACAATATGAAAGTCTCAATAAATATTTTGTCAAACCACTTATATATTATTATCCGTATATTTTAGTATATACTTTACATATTAATATAGTGTTATTTTTCCTTATTGATATAAAAATATGTATAATTCATAAAGATCCGTAATAAAACTTCTATATTTTAAATGTCTGTTGAATATTAAGGCCTGGTTAGGAATTTCTCGGGATCTAGGTTATGTGAGCGAAATATTTGTTCTTATCAACTTTTACAGTTTACACATAAGAAGTTTTACACAATAATCATAATTAGGGTCAATTAATCACAGTGGAATCCACGTAAAGATATGAAATTGTTTTATGTCACACATTAAAAAACAAATATTCAAATTCAAACATTTATTAGATATTGCTAAGATAGATGTATAATGAGGTATTATATTCTCCAAACAGCACACAAGACTGGTATTTACCTTATGCATACGTTTTTGCTTTGTTTTATAATTCGAAATTGCAAAGATGAACTTGAGTTGCAACGATCTGAGTATCATTTTAATTAATTAACAACACGCAATCTGAAGTTCTTCATACTGATTAACCGCGTACGGTTTCTTGAAGTTAAAATTGTTAATTTTGGTAAGCTAGACACTTTTTGAAATTCTTCAGTTACTGCCTGTGTTTTGGTTATCTTGTTATGCTATGAGGTGTACTTTTACGAAATCTAATTTTCCTTTTTCGAAAACTTTTACCCTAAAGTAGCGCTGAATTATCTATTTATGTATCATATTTTAAAAGAGGTTGGGGAAAAAAGCGACCTACCTTCAAAAGTTTCTTACAAGAAGATACATATGGGTGTGAAACGTCTAGCTCCACAGGAATACTGCTGGAGTTCTGGGTGTCCTCATGCTGAGCGAAAAGTTTGACCATTTGCATGACCACTCCTTGTGGCCGAAGAAGCTTTACAGTGAAGTTCAAGCCGTCAGACAAAAACACCTTTGCGTACAGAGCTTCTAGAACTGGTAAACTGTGGGGGACGGCGTCCACGAAGACATCGATTGGAAGCTCTGCTAAGATGGCTTTAAATGTGGAATAGTTTAAACGATTGATGAAATTAGCAGCCTCACGATATTGGAAATTATCGTATAGAAAGATGACCCTTTGTATGGCAACTCCCGGACTAACATCAGCTATCGTCATGCTGGCTACCCGACTGTCCATGTCTTTTGGAAACCCTTTCACCCAATCTGAGTTTCGCCAAGTAAGCTTTTGGACATTACGACGGTTCGATCTTTCTGGTCTGATACGGCTTCCTCTCTCAATGACAGACCATCCTCCCTGTTTATTGTAGGTCCATGCAGTGTGACTGGACACCTTGTCCATCAGCGGCGGTGGCACGTGCAGCATTGCGCGTGCGTTGGACATAAATGTTCAGAGGTAGGTGTTTGTTGTTTGTTTTTCTCTTATTTTGAAATATTTTAGAAATTAACAAATTGTTTGTTAAAAAAATAAATACGGCGCTTCAGTTCCTTGTATTTCAGATTAATGAAATTAATCTGTCTCTTTCTGCTGTTCTCTTAATTCCTAGTGCTCCTGTCTTCTTATTCAAAGATAGCGTCCGACTTAAGTTAAGTTTGGACCAGAAATGCTCGATAGCGAGCTAGTGTGTCAGTAAGTCTAACTGGCCATCAATGCAGGCTACATGCAATAAGAGGTCGGCGGCCAGACGGGTTAGTGGCAGTGCCTCAGGCTTCAAACTTCAGGTAGATGTAAGTACTACTGCCAGTAGGCCAGGGTTACTCGTGCCTCCCCCTGTGCTGACTGACTGACCTGATAAAACTGCTTAACCTGGATGATCTCCCAGCAATCCCCTGCCTTCCCGGCACAGAGGAATGCGACGATGATGGGTGAACAAGTCTCGGTGATCACGTGCTTGAAAGCGGTCGAACCGGGCCGTGTTGTGGCGGATCCCGCAGGCTGCCGTTCTCAATGACTGGGATACCCAAAGAAGCTAAAGCCACACTATTAATGATAGCAAGGTGGTTTGTGTGCTTTGTCTCCTGCCGCCAAACCTGTTCCTCCAACTCAGAACGCATGCGCACGTTAATCCTATTCATCCTTATAGCTGTGGTAATTCGCCCCGTTCTACCCCACCTGCTGCCGTGACTTAAGAAGATGTGGACCTCTGCTCTTTATTCTAAAGTATTTTGGATAAGTAATAAATAACGACTTCTATTGAAGTGATGATATAATCACAAAGACAGTGGTATGGGTTCTTATAACTCTCTAGTGTCTTTGTTTTATAGACAGGCGTGAACTAATAGCCCAGAGGTAAACTCTATACATCAATTGTGGATGATTCAAGTTCAGTCAACTTATTATACAGTGCCACCTATTTATCTATCTATAATATTTTCAAGTAACTGGTAGCAAAATATACGTATAGAGAGCAACGAAACAATTTTTATAACATCCATGTCAACTGGTTTTAAAATTTAGTCACCAAGCCGAAAACTAATGAAAACTGAAGTATCTACTCTATTCAAGTTCTAGATACACCGTTTCCAATGTCATTTACTAAGAAGTGAAAGATATAATAAAAAAAAGACTTTTTCGTGCTACATTTTTATACAATTCTATGAAAATGCCAGAATATTTCTAGAAAAAGTATACACATTTGAAGAAACGCTTGTTTGTTTTAGAGCAAAGACACATTGGGCTATCTGCTGTGTCCACCCTGGATTTTAGCGTTGTAAGTCCGTAGATTTACCGTTGTCCCACCGGTATTTGCTAGAGAAATTGAAGATATCTTGAGAAAGACCATGTCATAAGACGGAAGAAAGTGTATTACAGTTGTAGAGCGTGAAGATGGCAGAACTCGAATGAAAAACACCCAAAACAGAGTCTCTTGGGTCTGAATATTGTCAGGTGTGAACTAGCATCAAGACATGATCTGCAGCTCCCATAAAATACTTTTACCAAACAGTCGAGACATCAAAAACTCAAAAGACTGAGGAACTTTCAAAACAAGGCTGTTGCCAAACAGAAGGCAAAAATTAATAAGTCATACAGATTGCCATAACAAGAACTGCAAATCAAAGGAGAGGACTAAAGCGTGAAAGTCCAAAAAGACTTCCAGAAAAGGAATTACTAAAGTATAGAAACGAAAAAAAAAAACGTTTGTAAATGCTCGGGGATTACAATACAAATAGTTATCAAGAGGGAAAGAGAGGAAAGAATACAGAACCAAGAAACTGTAATAGCAACAATAAACTAGTATAAAAGAGGGTTTAAAGTTTGCAAAAGATAAGAAAGTCGAAAAAATAAATAGACAAAAATGTAAATCTTTAAAAAACGGGCTTTAATTAATGTGGGTGGATAGAATATGATTCACCAAACATGAGGATTTGTACACAACATCTTGTTTGGCCTGTCGGTAGTCAGAAGGTACGATGACCAGCAGAAAAGATGGCTTAACATTACATAAAATACCCTTTACGCTAAAATATATACAAATACCAATAACAAGTACCACTAACGCAAATAAAGTACAAATACCAATAACACTACCACTGACTCAAATAAAACACAAATACCAATAACAGGTACCACTGACTCAAATAAAACACAAATACCAATAACAGGTATCACTGACTCAAATAAAACACAAATACCAATAACAGGTATCACTGACACAAATAAAACACAAATACCAATAACAGGTACCACTGACTCAAATAAAACATAAATACCAATAACAGGTACCACTGACTCAAATAAAATCACAAATACCAATAACAGGTACCACTAACGCAAATAACGTTTTTTATCAGAGTAGAAAATACTTAAGACCCGTTTACAATTGGTATATATATAGAATAAGTACAACGGTCACGTATCACACGAAAAAAAAAAGTTTTTCTTTTATAAATCCAGATAGAAAACATTTAGAATCTTTGCATATTTTGTTCCTTCTGGTTTCTCAGTTAACAAATAGTTGGATTATTTCGTACAATAAGGCAACAAGCCATTTTATCCACCACCCACAAAACTCAACAGTGATAATCGCCTGACGCACGGGACAAAAATAAATCAAAAGGTCTTATCTTGGTCTTGTTTCTGATACAATTACTTGCAGCTTACCTAATCGTAAGAATAATGTCGGGAATACCAAAATGGAATAAACGTAGTTCTGCTCTGAACCAGACAAACGTTGCCTTTACTTATGTTTAAAAAACGGCCAACTTAACTTATCAATAGAGACCACTTGTTGAAGAAAATGGTCTTGTGGCTGACAAGGGCTCATCAGCTATGATAAGAAATTTAGAGCCCCGAATATCGACCATATTTGCATATGATGGGCTGTAAGCAACACCTTTATACTTGAAAAAGAACTAAAATATATTTCTATCATTCATTCGCATGTTAGTTAGTTATTGTTTCTTCTGTGTTAGATTTTTGTTTACATTAGATTAGAACATCTTATATTCAAACATAAGAAAATTTTCATTTTCTAAGAAGACTACGAATGTGGAGTAGAATTTGTTAAAGCCTTTAAAGAAAAACAGTACAATTTAACGACCTATCTGAAGAATTCACGAATCGCTACTTCTTTTGTTTTACTTTTATAACTTCAACTGAATTAACAAGGCAGTGACACTCTGAGCAAAACGCCCGTCTGTAGAACGTTGACCTCAGAGCAAGTTAGTAGCGCTTGTCGGGCACTTTTTTTGTAGTGTGAAGGTTATAATGTATGCAACATAAGGATGGGGAAGGAAAGGAATGGAGGAGAGGGGGGAAATCTGTTATGATTAAAATTATATTATTGTTTTGTTCTACGTATGCCGAGACTAGAATTAACCAAATGACATCTTTTAACTCGCTGAGATTAGGAGGCGACCATTCAGAACCTAAACGTTATGAATTTTTTCATAATGGTAGTGTAATCATGGCAACTTTAAAGTATCAAAAATAAAAATATTGAATAAATAAAAACTTCTACTTCTGTCACACGTGTTTTCTACTAAAGGCCTGACGATCCGTGAATTTTGTGTTTTAAATTACACTCCATTTCTACCCTTGTTCCAGGCTAAGTTTCAGTTTTTATAACTCATCGGTACAAATAGAAGCGTTGCGTAGCAACGGTTGTTAGAGTCAGTGTGATAACATATAAACAGCCTGTGTTTAGTTGTGCTTGCTTGCCTCTTCCGATTACTAGAGAGATAAGTGGAGTTACTAAATATTCTCTGGTTTGTCGAGAGGAGAACCTGGTTATTTTTATGATGTTTAAAAGCGTAACAAAATTTCTTCAAAACTACCTCTCTTAGAAAGGCTATTATAATAACGTAGCAATTTGACTCTCCATTCAGGGGTTGTGTAATAGGTTTGATATGTACAAATATGCTGTTCTTCATTCCACCAGACTCCTCGATGGTTCAGCGGTGGGTCTGAGGGCTTATGACGCTGAAAATAGGGTTTTGATAACCGTGGTGGGCAGAGGACAGGTAGCCTTTTATGTAGCTTTGTGCTTAACAGCAAACATATAAAATCATTCCACCAGTTTAAAGTTCTTATTTAAAAAAAAACATAGCTCACCACAGTAGATTTCTTCCCTGTTAAAGATAACCTATCCTCATGAACTAGTCAGTAAGAGTCATATCTTTTCTCAATAAATACCTTTGACTCACGAACTAGTTTACCGCAGTATGTCTCATTTTGATCTGGACATCCCAAACCCATGAAATGGTTTTGATTAGTTATTAGTTGTTTCCTGTTTTGAATATGTAAGCTCGGGTATTGGTTATTTCTATCACTCATCGACCAATCTAATATCTACTTTAGTTTTAAGATGCCAGGCTTTACCACCTTTCAATCTTGGTACTTAATATAAGTGCTGGCTACCGCAATTTATCATATTCCAAACTACGGAAGTGGAAAAAAACTTACCCATGTGAGCCACACATCAACAGAAACAAAACGATTTTCATATTTTGGTAATTTTAGGAATTCTTTAATTCATTCTCATATCACATTCAGGTATCTTCTATATCGTTCCGTATTATCGTAGTATGTGTAAACATTTTATCTTTACTTTTATCGAAAACAAAAACAATTATTTTTGTGTTCGTCTACTTTTGAAAACAAGAACAATTATTTGTTCGTCTACTTTTGAAAACAAAACAATTATTTGTTCGTCTACTGTTGAATAACAAGAACTATTATTTGTTCGTCTACTTTTGAAAACAAAACAATTATTCGTTCGTCTACTGTTGAATAACAAGAACTATTATTTGTTCGTCTACTATTGAAAACAAGAACAATTATTTGTTCGTGTACTGTTGAAAGCAAAAACAATTATTCGTTCGTCTACTGTTGAAAACAAAAACATTTATTCGTTCGTCTACTGT